TCACGCCGGGCGTGTGTGCGTGCGTGCCCAAGATCCCGAGAGGAGAATGGAGGAGAAGGGATTGCGGCGTGACCATCCCCCCTGGGGGGTGATTTCTTGCTTTCTGTCTCTATGTCTCTCTGTCTGTCTGGCGAGCGCACGTGCCCTATAGTGAAAATCTCTCCAAAAAAAAAAAAAAAAAAGAATATCTGGGGGGGAAACCTTTCAGGCAGAGAAGCTGACTTGTATAAGGCCCCAGAAGCATACGTAATATGTGTAACTGTGGGGCCAGCAGGTGGTGCAGTGGCTAAGGCTCTGGACTCCCACATGGCCTAACGTGGTTCGATTCCTGGACTAAGGGTAGGGAAGGTTTGAAATTAATGGGAGGCGTGTGTATGTGCATATCCAAAATCCCAAGAGGAGAATGGAGGAGAATGGATTATGGTGTGGCCACCTCCCTGGGGGGTGATTTCTCACTTTCTCTCTCTCTGTCTTCAGTAAGCTCATGCGCCCTATAGCAAAATCTCTCTTTATATATATATGTGTGTGTGTGTGTGTGTGTGTGTGTGTGTGTAAGTGCATCATAGGAAAGAATCCAGAGTGGCAGAAGCAGAAAGAGAGGGAGAGAAGGAGATGGAGAGATAAAGAGGGCAAGAGAGAAGCCAGGCAGTGCTATGGTGGTCACACAACTGGACACCCTTGGAAATTCCTGGGTGTGGGTACCAGGGCCTCCCTGGGCACCGGGATGTGCACACACACACCCACGTGCAGGCTGCTGAGACTGGGACGGAGCTGCAGCATGAAGACCCCGGTGGGCGTGCCAATCTCTCTGCAGGTCTCGCTGTGTCTCTCTCTCTCTCATGGAGGAAATACGTAAACCTTGGTTGGGGAAGGGAAGGATCCTGTGCTAATTAAAAACAAAGCGAAATAAAACAAAACACTTGTCCTATTGATGTGACTCATTATCATAAAAAAAGTCCAGAAGGGTTTGAACATACTTAAATAAGATAAAAGTTAACTATATAAAAGCTTTAGTCACTGAAATAATTTCCATAGGGAACCTTTTTATATATCAATATATAAAAGCTTATTCAAAATACAGTTTTTGTGTCAGGGTTCCTTCTTCCAGCTTTCTAAGAAATAGGCCATCTGCACTATGGTGCAAATGAGTCCAGCTCAACTTGAAGATACGATTCCCTGTAATTCCGACAAGTTGAAGTATCTTAATGGTTTCTTTCTCAGCAACAAAACATTGTGAATAAAGATAATGTGTTTAGATTACTATTAAACCACATGGTAATGTCACCACTTTAATGGCCTGAACTCCTAGAATAAAGAATTCCACTGCAGTTCTTAATACATTTTGAATGTCTTAATACATCAGTGGACAAAAGTCCTTCTCAATTAAAAAAGATAAAAACAAAAACATGTGCACTGCACACACACACACAATTACTAACGCTATAATATTCTGCGACAAAGTTTCTTAATGTGATCTTATCCAAATATCTACATGAAAGCCAGCCTTGAGGCAACATTTTAAACATATATGAACTATAGAAACAGAAGCCAGTTCTTTAGTATACATGTTAAATTTATTTAAACATCTACGATGAAGCATAA